CTGCGGATATCAATCGTACGCATCTGTGAGATATATGGTTCTGCTGGTCATACTCAAAGAAATAACGAAACTTAGAAGAGGTGTCTGTAGGAAGTGTTAAAATGATCAAGGGTAAAGAAAGATTTTGAGGTTAGACCAAATATATATGTTTATTCAATATGAAAAGACAAAGGAGAAATTGAATAAAAACTATAATTTTCCTAGCTAATTCCAGAAACTTTAAATTAGGGGCACTTTTCAGAGCTTGAAATAGGCAACTTGAGTACACCTGTGCAAATGCTTCCTTTCACGATTGAAAACCTACAAAGTTAATCACATTTGGGTACAAGATAAGACTATAAATCAGTTCAAAAAAGGTGACAGATCCAAGGAAATTAAATAGACCTGTTGACCTGGTGGGTCTTGCCTACTAGAGACACAGGCAATAGATGCCTTCGTGCTTTCCAGCAAAGCATCCACTGGGTCTGCCAGAGCACATTGGAAACCTAGGTGGAGGTGTTGAGTTCCTGCTCATCCACCTCTTCTCTGAGACTGTCCCAGCTCCTCCCTGGGCAGCCCTATTTCTGTACCACTTTATTTTTTATCTCTTCTCTATGGTTTGCTTCAGGGTATAGTATGCCTACTTCCCACACCAGCCTGAGAGCCCCTTCCTTGAGACCAGGGATCATACCTGTTTTCCCTGAACCCCCTGCCTCACACCTGGCAAAAAGCAGGAACATTTGGTAAAGGTTTTTTGGATATTGTCTGACCCAGTAGGGTTCAGGTTCTTTTCTAACCTCCATATCCATGCGTAAACCACACGTCACTTCTTGTTGAAGTGTTTCCTATGTTTCCTAGTACGGCCAGTTACTGTAGTTAAGTGAAGAAGAGCATACACTTTGGATCCAGACACACTGGGGTTGAGTCCTGGCTGTACCACTTCTAGCTGTGACCTTCCTTGACCTCTCTGAACCTCAGTTCCCTATCTGGAAAGGTCAGGTACTATATTTACCTTACTGTGTTGTCCTGGGGATGTGCCTGACACATAACAAACACTTACTAATTGGGAGCTGCTATTATTGTTTCTTTGGTACTTAATTAATTCAAGGCATAGTTTGTGGATGTAATAAAATGGATCAAATATACACCTGCCTTAAGGACCTCACAGCACAGAAACAAAGAGTGAGCAAACGCAAATGTAGGGTAGTGCTGGTAGGACAGGAATTGCACAGAGCTTTGGGAGTTCACAGACCAACAAATGATACGTCCCTGATCGGGTACAGCCAAAATTCCTTCCCAGTGGTTAGACTTTCCATCTTAGTATTCGCTAGATACAAGGTTGTTTTATTTTAATCTTATAGTATTAATAAACTACTACCTAGATTATATATCAGCATAAGCAGTGCTGGATAGAGACAATAAAAACTAGATAAGATTACTGAGTGAAAATGATCATTAGCTTTCTGTGCTATCTGTTGAATTTTTTTAATATACAAAAAACCACCATATTTCATTAGCATTTTTGTTGTTGCAGTTAATCCAGAAACTTAGAACTAGCTTTACTAACTTTATAGACCTGGCATCATTTAATCCTCCTGTTGATAATGTGCTGGGGTCAGGGGCTCAGTGGGATATTTGGGACTAATATCTTTACATCATCTCTTGCTTTCCAAGGCTTTCAATAAGGGACGAGAGAGCTGACTTTTAACTAATTTCCAGATTTTTTTTTTCCTATTCAGAACAAAGTAAAAGTCCTGAGAAGAGCAGGTAGAAGGAAGTGGCTTAGGTTAATACATTTTCAGGAATAGCAGGGGAGATGAGGACTGGTTTCTGCCTTGTACCTTTTTTATTCTGCTTAGTATCCACTTAATATTTTCAATGAAAGAATACCAATAGCCTGGTATGTGTAATTATTCAAAATTTAAAAGTATCCACAGTCCCATCAACAGATGAATGATCAAACTGTGGTACATCCCCACAGTGTTCATTGCAGCTCTATTTACAATAGCCAGGACATGGAAGCAACCTAAGTGTCCATCAACAGATGAATGGATAAAGAAGATGTGGCACATATATACAATGGAATATTACTCAGCCATAAAAAGAAATGAAATTGAGTTACTTGTAGTGAGGTGGATGGACCTAGAGACTGTCATACAGAGTGAAGTAAGTCAGAGAAAAACAAATACTGTATGCTAACACATATATATGGAATCAGAAAAAAAAAAAGGTTCTGAAGAACCTAGGGGCAGGACAGAAATAAAGACGCAAACGTAGAGAATGGACTTGAGGACACCGGGAGGGGGAAGGGTAAGCTGGGATGAAGTGAGAGAGTGGCATGGACATATATACACTATCGAATGTAAAATAGATAGCTAGTGGGAAGCAGCCACATAGCGCAGGGAGATCAGCTCAGTGCTTTGTGACCACCTAGAGGGGTGGGTTGGGGAGGGTGGGAGGGAGACGCAAGAGGGAGGGGATATGGGGATATATGTATACGTATAGCTGATTCACTTTGTTATACAGCAGAAACTAACACACCATTGTAAAGCAATTATACTCCAATAAAGATCTTAAAAAAATAAATAAAATAAAATACCCTTTTCCAAAGGGTGGGTGACTATGGGGGGGGGAAAGTTGTGGTACCTCCCTGCCATGGAATACTACCCAAGAATACAAAGGATTAAACTATTGATACATGCAACAACCTGGATGAATCTCCAGAGAATTAATGCTGAGTCAAAAAAGCCAGTCCCCAAAGGTTACATACTGTATCGTTTCATTTATATAGCATCCTTGAAATGACAAATTTATAGAAATGGAGAACAGGTTAGTAGTTGCCAGGAGTCAGGAGGGGGAAGGGCAGGGGGGAAATTATTGCAGTTATAAAAGGGCAACATGAAGGATCCTTGTGGTGATGGAAATACTCTGTAGCTTGACTATATCAATGTCAATATCCTGGTTATGATATATGACAGTTTTACAAGATGTTACCATTGGGGGGAAGTGGGTGAGGGGTACATGAGCTCTTTCTGTACTATTTCTTACAACTGCATGTTAATCTACAATTATCTCAAAATAAAAGTCAAATTTTTAAAAAATTAGCTACAGTAATTTCCATGTGGATAACCACTTGATGTGGTTAACCACTTAACCACTTAATGTGGTTAAGCCCCAGATTTTTAACATAATTAAATACTGCAAAAAGCAGTTGCTTATATAGCAGCTTTTTTTTTCCATTGTAGAAACCTTGGAACATATGGACAAAAACAGAATGAAGTATAAATAGGAAAATAAACATAACTACTATTACCTTTTTGGTATTTTTCATTCTGTTGGGGTTTTTTTCTGAATTTGTAAATATATTTTTTCACTTATAATTGGGGATACATAGTTTATGAGGTTTTGCAGTCTGCTTTCTTGAATTTTCCATCATGCAGATTTCTCTGTCTTTAAAATTCTTCAAAAACAATTTTCATGTGGCTATATATTCCCTTATATGGATGTTCTATAATTTATGTAATCATTCCCTAATTATTAGATATTTGTCCATTTTATATGATCGATATCCTTACACATAAAGCTTTTTCTACATTTCCTATTTTTTCCTTAATGTAGGTTTTTGTAAATGGAATTACTGAATCAAAGTGCATGAGCATTTTTAAGGCTCTTTGATTTAAATTACCAGATTGCTTTCTGGAAAAGTGGTACTAATTTACATGGTCACCAATAAGTGCATGTGAATGGATGAGGTCCAAGACCAAAAGTAGCTAGAAACAGCATAGAGTTCCAGAACAGAAAGATTCAAGATTTTTATCTTTATGTAAAGCAAAGTTTCTCTACTTCAGCACCACTGACATTTTGGGCTACATAATTCATTCTTGTTGGGGAGCCATCTTGGGCATTGGAGGATGTTTAATAGCATCCCAGGCCTCTACCCACTAGATGACAGTAGCACAACCTATCTCCTCACTCCAACCACCACCACAGTTGTGACAACCAAAAGTGTCTCCAGACATTGCCAAATGTCCCCCTGAGGGGCAATATTGCTTCTGGTTGAAAACTATGAATCTAAGAGTTACATGTGCAGTGAGGCACTTATCGTTAGAATGTCTCTGACACTGTGTACGCTAACGTTCTGAAGCGTAGCCTCTCAGGGTGCTTTTCTTTCTCTGAAGTGTGTATGTGCATGTTGTCTGCAAAGTAAAATTGGCTAATCACTTCTTTAAGGCTAAGTGACTTTGTTACTGCTCGGTGTGTATTTCTCCCTGCTGCTACCTCTCTGGATTCCTGGTTATTAGAGGAAATTTAAAGAAAGTGACCACACTGCCCTGCAAAAATGATTTCCCCTAGTACCTAATATGGTATTTGAAAGTGTCAGTCAGTATACCTACCCTTTGTCTTTCTCCTTTGAATAAAAAGGGCCCCAATAGACTAAGAACAACTTGGTTCCCTTGACTTTGTATGTAAAGGAAGGAGAAAGAGTGGAGTGGGATTTTTGCTAACTTAAGTTTGAGCCTTAAAAATCATAAGAAGCCTATTTTACACAGCAGGAGCTCCTAGTTGAAGGTTTGTCCCTCAGATCTACAGCCGACCTTACCTTCCATTCTTGCTGGAATGCACCTGTGTGAAATGGCCACCTATGTTACTTCTGTAATATTTCAAAACATCATGGGGTCATTGGAACCCACACTCTGTTTCTGATGTATTGATACAACGTTCTGCACCCAGATCTTCTAGTAGCTCAGTTATAGTTGATGAATTTCCTTAATTCAAGTAAGACAAGATTCAATTTACTTTGAAAAATGAGGAACACACAAACACGTCGTTAAGAACATAAACTCACTGCAAATATTCTATCCTTAAGTGATATGAAATGCATTTAAGTCTGTTTTTCAGTAAAGACCTGAACCTTTGAAGTTCTGTCTGTTAGCCCGCAGTTCTGAGGTGTGACATTTAGCTTATGAAGGTTAGTTTGACATTGACTTTCTCTACTGGCTGTTTCTGTTTGTTTCCCTTAGGAGCAGTCTCACAGGTGCTGGACAGCCTGGAAGAAATTCATGCACTTACAGACTGCAGTGAAAAGGACTTAGATTTCCTACACAGTGTTTTCCAGGATCAGCATCTTCACACACTACTAGATGTAAGTTTTTCTTTTTATTAATTTTTTTGGGTAAATTGAACATTTACCATACCGTTTTACTTTACATGAATATCCAAATGTCCATCATAACAGTCCTTTTTCAGTTGCCTTCAGTCTGTGAGAAATGTGGGAAGTCATCCATCATAGATTCATAACTGAAATATAGTATCTTATATATGGTACAAATGCAGTATAGCCTAACAAGTCACAGTGGAAAAAGTTATATATTTTATATATGTGTTTCTATTAGAAGAATCCATTGATCTTAGCTGTGATTACCTTTTATTGCTTTTAAACATTGTTTTCAAACATTGCACCTCAAACATGAATATAGGAGAGAGAAAAGTAAGATATTGTGCAATGGACTGTATTCACATACACATTTCATACTTAACGTTGCTGGTTTTCATAAACTCAGTGTCTTCTCCTTAAAACGTAAGAATATATTCCATCATTAAATATGACAGGCTCCACTGACAGGTAAAAGGAAAAGTCAGAAGCTGACAGTTCACATCTGCCTTCATTTCAGTCACATTTTAAGTAAAATACCTTTCTTATAGAACTTGGTTAACTTCAGCAGTGAAAACTTTCTTAGTGTACATATTAGTCTACTAGTACATATAAGTCTTTTTACAAGAAAAATCTTCCCTTAATAAGAGAATTATTTTGCTTTGGGATGTCTAGAACTTTTTGGTGCTCACTCTGATTAATCAACCATGTGACATGGATTAAACTAAAGCAAAATTTCCCAGAATGTGTTCTACAGAGCATTGCTCTGGGAGATAGTGGTGGGTCTTGCCATTCGAGAGGGGGGAGTAGATCTTAAATTTATTGGTTAAATTATTTATTGACTATATAAGTTTGGAAAATGCTGCATTCTTTATTCCCTTTATACGGATTCACAATGGGTGTTAGTATATAGCAGCTCTAAGATGTCCTATAGCAAAGAAACCTTATTAACTCTAATAGCATTTCTCAAACTAATTTGGGCAGAGAACTTTTATTCACAATCCTGTCGAATTGGTAAGGACCAGTTTGGGAAAAGCTAAGCTAAGAGTGTCATAGTATGTTCCAACTTCACACTAAGTGCAGTCATAGGTATCTCACAGTTGCTTCTATCTGTAGATTTGGTTAAATCAAATTAATTATTATTTTTTGATTAGTTAGGCTTTTTAAATAGTATATGTATTAATTCAGGACTAACTGCTACAGCATGCAATCCTAAAATTTGAGTGGCTTACCGGAATAGAAGTTTATTTCTTGCTCACATCACAGTCCAATGCAGGTAGATGAGGAGGGGAGGAGCAGGAAGAGTCTCTTCCACAGAGGCATTCAGGGATCCAGGCTTCTTCCACTTTGTGATTCTGCCATCTCTCAAGGTTTTGGAATCTTCCACTGCATCCTTTGCATCCAGCCAGCAGATGAGAGAAAATGGAGAATTTTGCAGGGTCAAGGTTGGAAGTGGCCTGTATCACAGTTGTCCATATTCCATTGACAAGTACTAGTTACATGCTTACCTAGATGCAAGAGAACTGGGAAATAGTTTTTAAATGTACTAAATGAAATAAGCCAGATAGAGAAAGACAAATACTGCATGGTATCAATTATGTGTGTAATCTTAAAAAAAAGTCAAACTCATAGAAACAAAGTGGAATGATGGTTGCCCAGGCTGGGAGGTGGGGGAAATGGGGAGAAGTTGGTATTTATCTTATTTATAAGATAAATAAGGTCAGAGGATCTAACGTATAGCGTGGTGACTATAGTTAACACTGCATTTTATAATTGAAATTTGCTAAGAGAATAGAACTTAAGTATTCTCATCAAAAAAAAGATAAATACGTGAAGTGATGGATGTGTTAATTAACTTGATTGTGAGAATCCTTTCACAATGTATACATTTATCAAATCATCATGTTGTACACTTTAAATATATTACAATTGTACTTGTCAATTATACTTCAGTAAAGATAAAAAATGTGCTCAGGAAGATAAGGAAATGGGTTTTCTCTTTAGTGTAATTTATCCTAAGTAATTTGAGGACATTTCAGATTAAGTTTATTTCAAGTAACTTGTTACTTTCCTTGGACACGAAAAAGCCCTTGAAATTCGTTCTGGTTTGTGGATAGCTCCTAACATTCCATTTTCTCCTCCTTCGTTGTCATCATTGTTATTGTTAATGTGCTATTTGAATTAGAGTTTGACCTCTTTTCATTGGCTATTTAAATATCTATTCTTCTTTATCATTGTTTCATATGATGCAGAAAGGTTTTTTTTGTTTTTGTTTGGTTTTTTGGCCGTGCCACAACACGGCATGCGGGAGTTCCCCAACCAGGGTTCGAACCCGCGCCCTCTGCAGTGGAAGTGCGGCGTCTTAACCACTGGACTACCAGGGAAGTCCCAGATGCAGAAAGTTTTGACAATTGTGAATTTTCTGCAGAAGTCACAGCCTTTACTAGAACTAGTAAGTGGGATATTTGAAAGAAGCTGCAGCAGAGCATGGAGATTTGGTTTATTTCAGTGCAGTCAGTGGTTGTCACTGCTAAGATTTACTGGCCTTTAGATCAAGGACTTTTTGTCATTTAAAGGCTAAGAGTAGCCCAAATTAGTTTTCAAAGTTGGGTTTTTCTTACTTAATGTAACAAGGTATCTGAGCATACCAAGCTTGAGACTACAGGGGAAATGCAAGAACATTGCTAGTTTCTACAAGGAGGGGCAGATATTCAGACACAGACTGGACTTTGGAACTGAGCCAGGCTGCCAGACCTCACTGAAAATAATTATTTTGAATAACTGCTGCATTCTTGGGTAGACATTGTTACAACTTCAGAAGAGATTCATAGATTTTAGTGAGGAAAAACATGTTTAAAGTTCCTTTGGATTTTTATTAATTATATTTATATTCCTTTGTAATTTTTATTAATTACACTTAAAGAAGTGTCTGTAGTATCAGTATGTGCCCTGTCAATGCATCTCGATTTGAAAAGGAGTTGGTGGGCTGAAAATGAGTTGTGCCCAATAAAACGACACCGTGTCTACAGAATTTTGCAGACAAGCACTACATGTGAAGCCCAGAACTCTCCTGAAATGACTGACTATGAGGCCGACCCTGGGCAGTGTTGGGATGCATTTGGTTCTGAAGATCCAAACTGAGCCATCCTTCAATGAAAGCTTAATTGTCATGAATGAAATAATGCCCTCATGATCTACAGCCCTTAAATATGTCTCATTAAGCTCTTGTTTCAGAGTTAACAGGCTACATTTCAATAATGTGATCAGTGAAGTGTTCAAATGGCTGCCATGTAGAGAAATCTAACTATTAAAAAATGTTTCAATACTTCAGTACTTATGGTATGCATAAAAAAAAAGGATCATGGTATGACCAACACTTGAGGAGAAACTTTTCAAACTTTGGCCATTCATTCTTCTTTCTTCTAGTGTTCCACATCCCATGCTTGGATTTGGATTGTATTGTTTTGCAGAATCATTGTTATCCTTTTCAAGAATTCCGAGTAGTGACACCTAGTGGCCTAGTTTTGTGGACCATGGCTTGACTGTTACTTAATCCCACTGAGCCATTTCATGAAATATCTTTATTATATTTAAATAATTCCTATTAATTCAATAACACTAAAAATCGTTAAGTTTGCAGCCGTCATTTTTCAGCTGACAAAAAGAAACAAGATTAAGTTCCTGAGGAAGATAAAAGATTATGTAGTGGGCTTCCCTGGTGGCGCAGTGGTTGAGGGTCTGCCTGCCGGTGCGGGGGGCACGGGTTCGTGCCCCGGTCTGGGAGGATCCCACATGCCGCGGAGCAGCTGGGCCCGTGAGCCATGGCCACGGAGCCTGTGCTCTGCAGCGGGAGAGGCCGCGGCAGTGAGGGGCCCGCGTACCGCAAAAAAAAAAAAAAAAAAAAGATTATGTAGTACTTTATTTTTTCTAGTCACGCCTTTAAAATAGTAAGAAGCTCAAAATTCAAAGAAACGTTATTAGAATTGGTTTGGAGGAAACAAAACATCTGTCATATTTAAAGAATTTACATTAAAACAAAAGAAATACTGTGGTTCCACTGAGGGAGGAAATGCTTTCTGATTTGAATTCTAGTAAAACGCATCTAGTATAATCTGTAGTTAGAAATAGTTCTAGAACGTCTAAATATTTGCTATTCAACCAGTTCTACCTGGCACACATATGCTGCTTCTCATTTTGTGGGGAGAAATAAAGAGGCTTGAGGAAGAAGTGTGCTTGGTCCAGCTTGTTCCAATATGTCTACTTTCAAAAATTAAAAGCAGTGGTACGGTGATGGTCTGTGTCTGAAATATATAGATCAATTGTAATAAAATACAATTTGGAGTGTGTTTACTGAAGCTGCCACAAACGGGTTGGCTTAAGATAAGAAATTATTCTCTTACAGTTCTGGAGGCTAGAAGTCTTAAATCAGGTGTCAGCAGAGCCATGCTCCCTCCAAGTCTCCAGGGAAGAATCCTTCCTTGCCTCTTCCAGCTCTGGTAGTTGCCTGCAGTCCTTGGTGTTCTTTGGCTTCATTACTCCAGTTTCTGACTCCATCTTCACATGGCATTCTCCTCTGTATGTGTGTGATTCTATTCAGTATGTCTTCACATGGCCTTCTTATAAGGACATTAGTCATTGGATTTAGGACCCGCTCTAATCCAGTATGACCTCATCTTAATTAATTACATCTGCAAAGACCTGATTTCCAAATAAGGTCACATTCTGAGATTCCGGATCAACATGAATTTTGAGGGGACAATATTCAGCCCAGTACAGCATGGAAAACTAATTTTGCCCAGAATTGATTTTTCAAGTATTAGTGCAGATTACAAAAATCAAATCTAAAATAATGAAATGTTACTCTGTCGTTCATTAATTAGGCTTTCTTGGGAATTGGTGTTAAAGTGTAATTATGTCTTTTACTAATATTTTGAATTAGTTTTGGAACTTCCGTGTGATAACGTTGGATGGTGAGATGATAGAGGTGTTTT